TTGATATCTCGACTCGAATTTAGCTAATAACCGGGCGTCTCGTCCTCCTTGAAGTTCGTAGCGTACGACCATCCCTGCTTGTCGCGCTTGTCGTGGTATCATTCGTCGAGCTGACACATCCATCCGATCCGCCCGTTGCCGGATCCATCCAGAGAGAGAGAGATGGAAGTTTATTCATTCTTATTTAGTAGCTTCCTGATATAATTTTACTCGTTTCTGCAGTGCTGGTTCGGCATCACGGATCTATTCTACAGGCGGAGGCGAGGGATCTCCTCCTCGAATCTCGATCTTCATCGTACCTAGGCAATCTATACATAATTGTAGATAAAGTCCTTCGAATCGAGTGTCAGAGCGGAGATATTCACTTCGAGCTACCGCTTGAAGCTGCGGATGCACCTTGACCACATGTGCTTCAATAGGCCCTGGGAGGACCGTAATAAAGCGAGGGCAACACTGCATATCGTCTCCCCCGTGCAGCCTCATACTACACGTTCCACTGCCCATACGTCAGAAGAATCCGTGCCTTGAGTCGCTGTCCCACTGGTGGCCGAATCCGTGCCGCCAGATAACTTTATATGTCTGCACTTCCTCCGCTGTTACCTCGTATCCGAGCCATTGAGTCCCAAAAGGCCTGTGCTCGGTTGCATGCCCAAGCGATATGTGTGATTGTATCCTTGGTGCCTCTAGACCTTCACGTCAGTTAATGAGGTGCTTCGAAGTTATGGATTACAACAGGATACCACCGGCGTCCTACACTGTTTCACTTTGCTCGTGATCGACCACTGACACTTCGTTTAGTAAACGAGTCTTTGGTTGAAGATTTAAGTTGAGTCAACGTGTGAGGCAATAGGTGATGTCTAAGGCTATGCTTGAAGACTAGCTCTTTGGCCAATTGAGGCCTTCACTTTCCAATTTTCCGAGTAAAGGACACACGACCATGGTTGCCGCTCAAACCCGCACCGCCGCGACTCGCCGCCAGCAGCCCATCACCCCCGAGCAC